CTTTACCAATGTTAAAATCTGGTCACCACCTTATTAGAGATGCCAGAGCAGAGTGAGAGGGAATATGGGGTTAAAAAAGTAACTGGTGCTAAATAGTGCAGGGCCTCAGGAGCCTCTGAAGAACTTTGGCTCTTATTCCTAATGAGATAATAAGCCATTTGACTTATCATCAATTTTCTATTAGCCATAAGAAAAAAACCCATGTTTTAGGGGTAATTAAAATCCATACATATGGGTGCATGTGTATATCTGAAAAACAAAGAAACATATGTAATTCATAGCAAATATTACAATTTCAAGTACTATCTGGAATCTTAGCTGGCTAAATAAATACAGACATTATTTAATGTAGAATTTTAATGTGTTCAATAAATGTTTGTAGAATAAGTGGATGTATATTTGTGCTGAAAAAGAAAGTAGTTTTAAGTTCTTAGAAAATCAGATGTACTGTATCAAGACCCTAACAGTTATCCTAAATACAGTCTTTTCTCACATATATCAGGGCATTCTTATGGATACTAGCAAGTCAATTTCCTTATTTCATACTTTATATATATCAAGTAAAAGATTAACATAGAAAACCTTCCAGAGTCACTTCTGAAAATTTTCTTCTTTTATTTGAAAGAGTCACATAAAATTTGATGGTGTATCTTTAAGTTTAAATTTTCCTTAGTTCTAACTTGAAAAATTTATTAGTCATCATGATCCATACGCAGACTCTATGTTATTAACAGTAATCAAATAATTTATATATTTTCATCCCCCAATTCTGTTGTTTGATTTTAACCCCAGGAAGCCTAGTGTCCAGGATGTTGACTGTCAATTTCAATAATTCTGAAAATGATAACTCCCCGTTGAGAGTTATAGTACAGGAATGTACTTTCTCGTCTGCACTGTCATCACTGTAGTTTTTAAATGCTGCGGTCGTTACATGCCATTGAGTTCATTTTGACCCTATACCATAGAGCAGAACTGTCCCATAGTGCCTTCCTAGACGGAATCTTCAAGGGAGTCAACTGCCAGGTCGTTTCTCTAGATGAGTGGCTAGTAGGGTTTAAGCTGCCAACCTAATTTCATAGCTGAGCACTTAACATTGTGCCACCAGCGGCATATTATTATGAAATATGCCAAGATCTGGAGTTAGAAAACCAAAAGGGAAGAACACACTCAAGTTAAAAGAACTAAAGAAAATCTAAGCCTAAAGTTACAATATTGAAAGATTCGGTGGGAAAAATATTGGATAGCACAGAACGCTTCAAAAGAAGATGGAGTCATGGTGTCAAAAAAAACCCTGGTCTGCATAAGCAAATGTGGCGAAGAAAGCTGATGGTGCCCGGCTATCAAAAAGTATAGCATCTGGGGTCTTAAAGGCTTGAAGGTAAAATCAAGCGGCCATCAAGCTCAGAAGCAACAAAGCCCACATGGAAGAAGCACACCAGGTTATACAATCACAAGGTGTCGAAGGGATCAGGTATAAGGCATCATCAGAACAAAAACTCTTACCATAGTGAATGATGGGGGGAGTGTGGGATGGAGACCCAAAGCCCATTAGTAGGCCACTGGAGATCCCCTTGCAGAGGGGTCTCAGGGAGGAGACAAGCCAGTCAGGGGGGTGACATAGCAACGATGAAAAATACAACTTTCCTCTAGTTCCTAAATGTTTTCCTCCCCGCTCCCACTACCATGACTCGAATTCAACCTTGCAAGTCTGGCTAGACCAGAGGATGTACACTGGTACAGATAGGAACTGGAAATCCAGGGAATCCAGGGTGGATGAGCCCTACAGGACCAGTGGTGTGAGTGGCGATACAGGGAGGGTAAAGGGAGAGTGGGTTGGAAAGAGGGAACCGATTACAAGGAACTATATGTGACCTCCTCCCTGGGGGACAGACAACAGAAAAGTGGGTGAAGGGAGACATCGGACAGGGCAAGATATGACAAAATAACAATTTATAAATTATCAAGGGCGCATGAGGGAGGGGGAAGCGGGGAGGGAGGGGAAAATGAGGACCTAATGCCGGGGCTTAAGTGGAGAGGAAATGTTTTGAGAATGATGAGGGCAATGAATGTACAAATGTGCTTTACACAATTGATGTGTGTATGGATTGTGATAAGAGTTGTATGAGCCCCTAATAAAATGATTAAGAAAAACAAACCCTGGTCATTGTTTAACGATTTCAGGAAGCAGAATATCATAAAAACTGATGGTAGCAGAGGAATTAGTCCAAATTTCAGTGAAGGCATTAGTCAAAAGCAAGGCTTCATGAACTGAAAAAATATTGAGATGCTTCAACTAAGGGATGGCAACACAGAAATATTCATCTATGCCAAGAAAGCTGGAAAATAGCTACTAGGACAACTTATTCATGCCCCTTTAAGAGAAAACAGATCCAACAAAGGGTGGAAATTATCAAACAATATTATAATTATCACATGCAAGAAAAATTTTACTAAAAAATAATTGAAAATGAGTATATTGACAAGGACCAGCCAGATTCAGAAGAGGATAAAGTACAAAGGATATGTCTGCTGACATCAGATACGCAGTTGCTGAAGGCAGAGAATACCTGAAAGATGTTTACCTGTGTTTTATTGACTGTGTATTTGATGGTGTGCATCCTAACAAACTATAAAAAACACTGTGAATAGGAATACCACAACACTTAATTGTCCTCATGTACATACACCAAGAACAATTATTAGAAGAGAACAAGAGGATAATGTAATGGCTAAAAATCAGGAAAGGTGTACTTCAGGGTTACATCCTTCATCATACTTATTCAATATGCATGCTGAATAAATAATCTGAGAAGCTAGACTATATGAAGAAGAATTTGGTATCAGAATTAGAGGAAGGCTTATTAACAACCCGTGATATCCTGAAGACACAACCTTGCCTGATGAGAAGACGATTTGAAGCACTTATTGATGAAGACGAAGTCTAACATTATATATTACATTTGTGAGAACTTTTTTTTAATAGCAGCACTAGATAACTAAGGCTATCCTTGCTTAGAAGGAACATTCTGTCTGTACTTCTTCCACGATAGATTTGTTTATTCCTCTGGTTATCCATGGCATAGTAAATATTCTTTGCCAATACATAATCCAAGGGTATGTCTTTTGCTACAGATTTGCCCATTGCAATATTCATTTGATTTCTTGACTGCTGCTTCCATGGGCATTGATTGCAGATTCAAATAAAATGAAATGCTTCACAACTTCAGTATTTTCTTTACTTATCACGTTGTTGCTCTTTTCTAGAAACTAAACCAATGCTAAATGAACATCGAAATAAAAATATAAAGAGAAAGACATTATTTGTGTTAATATCTGGGAATTAAGTTAAAGCATGTGTTTTATCAAATGAATAGTTTGCTTTCATTTCTTTGGTACATCCAAGATCTGCACTGACGACTTTGAGTAAAGCAGAGAACAATGGTATAGATCTGATTTAAAACTTACAACTATGTGAATATTTGAAGTATGAAATCAATTTAACTAAAAAGATTTATCTTCTGGTTAGTTTTATCAGGGTATTAATTAAGCACAGAAAAGAAGTAAGAGAGTAGAATACTTGGTCACTCGGTTTAGCAGTTTTCTTGGATTGAAAAAATTACAATAAAACCTCGAGGGTTAAGGATTTCAAATGAAGCTGCTAGACAGAGAAGACAGACCAAATTAGCTTACCACTTGAACCATTCTGAGATATCTGGCATATCTTGGATCCTTGGCTACAGTTAAGATATTTTCTGCTGCTACTTCACTGTCCTGTGGTCCAGAGTCTTGTATACTGTTCTGCTGTAGAGAGCATCGCGTGTAAATCTTGAGACAATTCACATAAGGGGTCCATCATGTTACTTAAAAGGGATGTTTCTTTTTATAATTCTACAGCATTTAATATCAGAAAAAAATCCTAATTCGAGTACCAAAAATTCAATTATGGTGTGCGTGTCTTCCAAGAGTTTAAATATGACATGAGGATACTGCGTATACTATCAATTCTACATTATTCATTAAAATGAATATAATCGTGGTATAAGAAAAATTTAAATTCTGCTTTACTGGTCTCCCGAGTGCTGATATAGAACATAAAGCATAGGCAGACATATTATCTTAATAAAACCTTTAACGGAGTTAATCAAACTATTAAGCTTCCCTTTACGGGCAATGTTTGATTTCCTAGGTATCTGCTATCTACACAACTGAATTCCTCATTTACTAAATCATCTTAACCTATGTGGGCGTGGCTTGTCTAACTATATGGACGCAATTCTTGGAGCAATTGTTAAAAAGAAATCTATTTCTGACTTTAAATGATAGAGTTTTAAAATTGTCGGCTACTAATAGAACTGTTAGTGTTAACACTGCCTAAAGAATAGCTAAGAATAAATGTTAAGGACTACTTACAATGAAGAACAGTGAGGAGTAGTCTTATGGTAAAGATGCACGGTATGGTGCTTAGTGGGAGCGCGTCTTGGCTTTAAACGGAAAGCAAGGACTGTTGGTAGACAGTACTTGACTTTTCTATCAAACAGCATTTAGAATGTACTACTTTGGTGAACCATATTTAATACTTATTTATTAGCATTTGAAGGAATTTAATTAACACAATGAAAACAATATTACCTGTACTGGAATAAAAAGAAATATCTTTAAATATTCATAGCTTTTAGACTAAGAATGCAAAATACAGATTTTTTTTCCTCAGTTAATTAAAATATAAATTGAACTCGTCAAAAATTCTGTGGCAAATAAAACATTAAAAACATCTTTCAGGTTTCTCCTCTTAATGTAAGTGCTTAAATATATATATGTACAAAAAAATCCAAAATTGCTAAATAGTTGCAAGATTCAAAGATGTTATTAAATTTTATGAGCAAGAAACATACACAATAGTACAATGGAGCAAATAATAGTTATATATAAGGGAGCTATAAAAAATTAGTGGAAAAGTTTCCTTATGATCAAATTCTACTTTAGCATACATTTTTTGACACCCCTTCTTATTGTCTTAGATTTTCCGACTTTCAGCTGCTGACCTTTGCTTATCACTAAGACCTCAGCAAGATTTAATTATGTAACATTTTACACCTTTGCTACTTGCACGAACCATTAAATCATGTAGCATATCTCTCAACTCTCCTTCATTTTATTCTCAAATTAATCTCAGTATGCACAACTGGATGCTCTATTGTGAGTCATGATAAAATCTGAACCACAAAATTAAAGTTGCAGAGAAACAAATATTCAAACCTTAGGTCTTTGACTCATATATAGATTACAGACTATGATGTATGGGTAATTAAAACCATAAAAGGAGTGCATGATTACTATATGGCTGATGATTGAGTTCACAGTAATATTGATGTGAACTCTGTGTTAAGCAATACTGAAGTTCATTTAAAAATATTTTACATACTCATATTCATAACAATGAAGAAACAAGATTTTGATTCATATATTAAGAATATATACAACAGTTATTAAACTAAACAGTATTTTTAAAAACCACAATATAATTATTTACTATAAGAACTTGGGAGGTTAACAAGATTTCATAAATTCTCCAAGTGAATGAATATATAGTTTTTATAAAAGCCAGGTCATTCTAAATTTGTAAGGCAATTGAAAAATTCACCTGTGATTACAGGCCATCATGGTTTTAGGGCCTCAAATTGGCAAAGACCAACACAACTGCATGAATTAGGTTTCAAAATATGCATTATATATGGCATTCATAAGAAACCAAAGCCCACTGACATATAGTCAATTCCAACTTACAACAAACCTTTAAGACAGAGTACAACTGCTTCTAAGGGTTTTCAAGACTATACATCTTTACGGGAACAGCCAGCCAGCCTCATTGTTCTTCCATGGAGTGGCTGATGGGTTAGAAGGGTTGACCTTATAGTTAGCAGTTCAACACTTAACCCACTATACCACCGCCAGGGCTCCTTTCAAAGTTAGACAGATGACATTTTTAAAAGGTATAGAAATATTACTGGACTACAAGTATTTGCCAAATAACTATCAGGTAGAGTGCAAAGACTTTCTTGGTATCCTGTACAGATACCTTCTTTTAGAAAAAAGGTGACCCATATTTAATTAAGAGAATCTTCTAAAGTTAAAAACCTTAACAATATTTGGATTTCATCTTGTGTATGAACTGGTAATTAACAAAAGGCCACTAATTTTATGAATGTAAAATTTCCTAGTACCTAATTGTTATGTAGCAGTTCTGGTGTTAACAGTGGCTCTGAGGTGAGCTGGCAGTTCAAAACCACCAGCAGTTCCGAGGAAGAAACACTGGGCTTTCTACTCCCATAAACAGTTACAATCTCAGAAACCCACTGGGGATCTCTATGAGTCAGCACTAACTCAATGGCACTGAGTTTGGTTTTGGGTTTAATTGTTATGTAAATAATCTAACTCATTCCCCAAATACATCCTCTAACTATATGGTTCCTCCTATAAGGTCTTGCACCACGTGTCCAAAGTGTAACGAATTAATTAACACAAGCATGAAAGATGGTGTGCCAAAGTTTGGTGTCACCTGTGGTGTGGTACAGTGTAGTGTTATACACTAAACACTTTTGTGTAATCCAGTGATAAAGAGAAGGACTGTTGGCATCAGGTTGCTTAGGTTAAAATCCCAGAGCACTTACATTCACTGTTTGACTTTCACCAAGTTATAAACATCTTTAACCTCATTTAGATAAGGGATGGTGGTCTAATGGTTAAGTGCTCAGCTATAACCAAAAGGTCAGCAGTTTGAACCCATCAGCTACTCCATGGGAGAAAAGACCTGGCCAACTGTTCCCATATGGATTTTAGCCCACAAAAATTTTATGGGCAGTTCTGCTCCGACCTATAGAGTTGTTAAGAGTTGGAATCCATCTGGGCCCACAACAACATGCCTCAGTTGATCCCCCCATCTACAAGGGGATTCAAAAACCTTCATGGAAACATTCCATTAGTTTTTAATTCCATATATCCATGATCTTTTTGAAGCCCACTTGTATTAAATAAGAATAAAAATATAGTACTTACCCCATAAAGCTGGTGTGAATAAATGAGTTTAATTTGGGAAAAGCAACTATCATGGTATCTGGCACAACCTTAATGTGTTGGCTATTATCATCATCATCTATACCACCATGATCATAAAAAATGCCTAGTGAAAGGGACTTCTACACACAAAGACACAATTCAAGATAGTTAGGGAATGTGTTTCGAATTACTTTGGTAGCTCCTTTTAGAGTTATTTTGAATTCTAATGGCTCATTGAGACATACTAGAGAATTTCCTCAGGTAACAGCATTTTAAAATTTTGTTGAACTAAAAAAAATGATAAATAATTTAAATTTACGTAGCAGCATAAATGAACATTAACACCCCAATGTAAACTGTGGTCCTTACTTTAAGGCAGTTGAATCAAACAAATCAGCTCTATTACAAAAACTCTTCGGAGAACTGGTAGTTAACAGAACAGCACCTCCAATTTGGAGACTGTAGGGATCACCTAGAGATCTTGTTAACATGTAGATTCTGACTCAGCAGGCCTTTGGTGGAGCCTTGGAGCCTCATTTTCTGACATGCCCACAGGTAAGGTCAAAGCTACTGGTCCAGGGGCTAGAGTAGAGGATACCTCTATCTAGGAGTACCTGTAAACTAGGTTGCACATTAAAAAGGTATTTGGGTTGTATAAGGTCAAAACTTCTCAGAGATGCTTAAGGAATTATGTAGGGCAGAAATGATATGCTGTCTGGAACCCACTTTGTAGAGACAAGAGAGATTGATGCAGCAAGTGTGCTAACTTAATAAGAATGGGTGACTCTGAGTGGATGTTCACTGTACAATTGTTTGACAATTTTATAATATCATATTTTAAATGTATAGTACAAGAACTTGGAAAAGTTCCCACAGTGTAATTGAAAGAAATAAACTATATTTCACATTTCCAAGTTCTGTATAGATCAAGTTTATAAATAGCAACTTCAGGAAGCCATTCAAAATAGTAAACCTAAACAGCTAGTTTTTTTTCAAACTCATTTTCTAGCCTAAAATTTTAAATTCTTAATCACTAACATTTTTGTGTATTTATTTAATTTCTTTCCAATCTGCCGCTTGGATGCACCAAGCCAACAAATATATGTGCTTATATCTCTTGGAACTTAAATACTTACCTGTGACTGCTCTCTAGTAGCTTCCGATTGTGGTCCATTTGTGACACTTTTGGCACTTAAGGGAGATCCTTCTACTGTGACATCATCTAGTCCTGGAATAGATGATAACTGGGGGTGGGGGTGGAAATGTTAAAACATGAGATGAAGTTGGGTGCTTAAATATACACTGTCAGCTTCTAAATGGTCTTATATGAAGCTTGAAGACCCTGGCTGCTACTGCTGCAATGCTTTGCTGCTAACAGAAAGGGTGGCTGTTGAAGTCCACTTAGATCAGAGATGTCTCAGAAAAAAGACCTGGGGATTTACTTCCGAAAAATCAGCCACTGATACCCTACGGAGCACAGTGCTACTCTGACACACATGGGGTCCACATGAGTCAGAACTGACTTCATGGCAACTATTTTAAATTCTGGTGAAAATATACACAGTGAAATATTTGCCAATCCAACTTCCATATTTACAATTCAATGACATTTTTTATATTCTGCTACCAGTATTGCTCTTTTCCCACAATACTGCACCACCATTAAAAGCGCAATGCCCGCCAAACAAAAACTTCCAGACTTCCTCCCCCTCCCACCCCAGTAAACAATAACCCCAAGTTTCTATGTATTTACTTCATGTACCTGTTCATGTACGTGAGATCATCATACAGTATTTGTCCTTGTGCACCTAACTTATTTAGTTTGATGTTTAACTTTGAGTAGTACTCTTCTACTAAAACACCGGCTGTTTAAAAATATATCTTTTTAGAGCTGATTAGTTTCAGCATCAAAGATAAGTCTATGGCAAAGTTCATCTATATTGTGGCATGCAACAGAACTTCATTTCTCTTATAGTTGCAAAATATTCTATTGTCTGTACATATCATACTTGGCTTATCTATTCGTCTGTTGATGGATAGTCAGATGTTTCTATCCTTTGGTTAGTGGGAAAAGTGCTGCAGTGAACACTGCTGTACAGCGTTCTACTGTGTTCCTGCCTTCACTTCCTTCTGCATATTCAAGGGCAAGTCAGGAAGTATTGCTACGAAGGTTCTAGTTCATGAATGCATGAGTTTATTCCAAACACAAGTTTAAACATTTTTGTGCTATCACTGCAGGCAAGTTCTCTCAGTAATACACTTTGGTCTCATTATAGTGCCTAAGACAAGTCCAGTCCTAACCGTGGTCTCTGAGTTCTGCTGGCCCACTCCATTTCAGGCACAGAGACCAGCGAAGAGGGTTATGGAGGCTGTTTTGTGGGATTCCTAAGGGGTAATCTTAGATAAGAGCTTCTCTCAAGGGGCACGAGCTAATGAGCAGGGCTTGATAGGAAGGCAGTTTTTTTAAGACTGAAAACTGCATTGGTTAGAAAGATGCAAGGGAAGTTGTACTGAGGAATTTTTTCCTATCTTCATAAAGCACTTGCTCCTTCTTCGATGGATAAAAGTCGCTGGGAAACCCTACAGCCCTGATCTTGTTTTTGCTCCCAAAACTCAGAGAACATTTAAAAGGAATACACTTTTGATTCCTCAAGGGTGCCAAAATTGCCACTTTGATGTAGTGTAAACTGAAGCATGCAGAATTCTTCAAGAAAAGGTTAAGCAGGGGTCCTCAAACATTTTAAACAGGGG